AGCTGTCAGGATGGTCACCCCAAATGCTCTTCCCGAAACCAAGATTGTGTCTCTACAAGAGGAGCCTCCGCAGATGACAGGCGTTCAGAAGCTGCAGACTGTCAGGATGAGAGAGACCCCACTGCTTTGAGATGAAAGGGAAAAGGCGGGAAGCAGATCTTCTGACAGGTGTTCAAAAACTTCATTTCACAGTGTTATTTGAGGACATCCTAGGCCTTAGTACCACTGAAACTTGATTTGAAGGATGGAGTCCACCTTAGGACTGATTCCTCAAGCAAACAATCCATGCCAATTAAGATACCTCAAAGCAAGCATTTTGCTATGGACTGAATTCAGAAACCAAACTGAGTTCTCCTTTGTATTGGTGGCTTTTAAAACTGCAGCCAATGTATATCTTTTTTTTTTTTACATGCTCAGAAACCTGAATGCAATGAGTTTATCTATTATGTATCAAAGCATCATCTTTTAGCTTTTTGTATTTTGAAGATCAAACACACAAATGGTGAGATCCTTTTTTTCTCTCTCTTGTTGAATTTCCTATATTCATTTTGTAAGAAATTCACAAGGCAAAGGGAGAAAGAGAAAGATGTTTCTGAAGCATCTAACAATGCTACACATACAGACCTATACTGATAAGCTAACACTTTGCTGATGATTCTAGTATGAGTTTCTCAGATATACCATTGTACTCACTACCCAGATATTCTCTAACTGGTCAAAGATACTGCAAACGTCTGGAAACAGTGGCTGACCATGAAGCATCTCCACAAATATGCAGCCTGCGCTCCTGGAGAAAAATAATATTAAGTCGCTCAGCCACCCAGTGCTGTTTTTATACAAATATGTCTAATCTAAATCAAAACAAAAGAATATAAAATGTACATTTTTATCAAACTTTCTAGTAGCAACATATTTCTGAAAATACTTTATATCAACACAGAAATGCTATAAGAAGGCATGTCAAAATCTGACTTTAATTTCAGTGGGAACAAAATGGCTTCTGTTACAGCAATGGATGGGTTCACTAACAGCAATCATTCTCCACTACAAAATTTATGTAAGGTAGTAGATACTTGAAATACTGATTCCAAAAAGAACAAATATTGGGGAATTTCTGTAAGAGACAATGTAAACTAGGATCAATCATATTTTAAAGTGTAAACTAAGGCAGTTGTATTAAAAATATATACCGGGGAAGCTATATACAAAATTCTGCATATTATGTTAAACTGCAAACATATGTGGACTGTCTAGCAGGTTCTTCTTTCTCCAATGAAAGAAAGAAAGAAAGAAGCCATGAGGATCTACCATACTGAAACTGGTTCAGATTTTCACTGAACCTCACATTCTTCGCTAAATGGGCACCACCTAATCTAAATACATATGCTCATATACTCAAAAATGTATAAGGCTAATCTAGCATGCTGGAGTCTGCATATATGATAAATAACTAATATCTGCAGCAGGAATTAAGTGGAACGGAGCTACTGCAGTCCCTCAGATTGCTTCCTTAGATCCTTCAATAATGTGGTGGCTCTTAAGCTCAGTTTGCAACCCACCCCTAGGCTCCATTCTCTACATAACACACAACAACTCTGGTAGTATTGTCACAACAAATCTCTTTACTACTACAATATGAGAAACACTAAAATCTGAACTGCATATCATACTGCCTACTTATCAAGACCTCTGATAAAAGAAGGAGAAATCACATTTAGGGGGAAAAAGGAAATAAAACTTGCAGTCTTACCTTATATTAGGAATAAGCAACATGGTATCTTTCAGATATTTTGCACTGTTGTCATTAATATAATGACTGGGGCTGACTGGCACTGAAGTTCCTTACACCATAAACTCCTCCAGGCCATAATGAATTGGTCTGCTACAACAATCAGTTTTAATTCCTCCCACATACTTACTTTCTTAAACACATCAGAAGACTGGATCACAACTTAAGGCCTGTCATACACCACTCACTCCCCTCCCTCCTTGGCATAGCAACCCTGGACTATTTTCTGGAGATAGCATAGTTCGTAATCTCTTAATGCAGTCCTGCTTTTTGTAATGTTTATATTAATTACAGGCTTTACCTGTATACTTTGTCAGGGTTTTTTTTAATGCTAGAAAATCACTATCAATGTTTAATTGATAGGCTAATGCCCAATCATACCTCTAAAATGCTAGATTTCTGAATTGTTTCTGTGGGTAGTAATTGCTTTCCATCAACATTAAAACATGCATGTGCGTGCACACACACACACAAATTGGGAACACCTCTGCATGCCAGTCATGATCATGACTTAGCTAGAAACAAACTTTTTTGGTACAAAATAGGTGGAATAGTAATCAGAAAGGCTACAGACTAGGGTGTTTTTTTAAAAAAAATTAATGCTAGGAATCTGGGATTCTATGGGGGGTCGTCACTTGCTCCCTTGTCTCAATCCATATAGTTTACAAGCAATGATTTTCACCCCCATCAAATCAGATACATTTTTCAGGAAAGCTATAACTTTATGAGATGAAAGCTATAACTTTATGACATTTGACATCATTTCATAGAGATCTAGCTCTCTGGCAATTCAAAAAGTTTCTAGGAATTATGTAGCAATTAGGAGAACAGAAGAGATAACCATGGTCAAACAGTATAAAGTAGGAATTATAGCATTGCTTGTGGAAAAGGTTGGGTAAACAGAATAAAATCTTTTGGATTTAGTTTCATTTTTCTCCTACAGTGCTCTAGACACCACATGGCAAGGAGTCTACTCTATTATGGATCTCAAAGTTGAACAGGTCATTTTATTTGGAGGCACAATTGATATTAAATACTCAAATCTTTAAACAATTGGGGGTATCAGGAGAAAAAAAAAAGAAAATAAATTTAGTTTCCACCTCAAACCCATGTACTTTTGATAATCAGAGGATGCTATTCCTCACAGCATTATTCCAAATTTAAAAATGGTCTTATTGTGTCTTCCACCTTTTCCTAAGAAAGGAAAGGAAGAAGGTGATGGGCCTCATTTGCTTCCTCTTAAGGGTCCAAACCTGCTCTCACCAAATATCCACATCTGAGGAATAGGCAGTGGCTCCAAGCAGAACATCAGGAGGACGATAACCAAGTGCCACCACCTCAGCAGAGCATGTTTGGTTGGGGAGGGATTTAGCACGAGCAAGACCTGTCAAGACAGGAAAAAAACAAGATTTTTCAATCACAGTCAGAATTATTTCAACCCATTGTCTGTACAATAAATAGGAGGGCACAAATCACAGGGACAGTCTATTACAATTATTTTGCATCTTTTTGTTGTAAATGATCTAAAGTAGTATCCAACATAATTATATAATGCAGTTGAGTTTTTCTATACTTTTCAGTTTCTAACATTAATTATTCCAAATATCTAAATTTACATCTATTTAGTCTGAGATGGACATTCTTACTTATCTCATCTCAATACAACTGCAGTTTAATTGGATTTAAGATCACCAGTGTTCAAGTTCTCTGTAACAAAGAAGAGAGGGATAAATGTTTCTGGTATGTGAGAAGGAGCAGCTTTAAAGGCAGAAAAGTTTGTCCTTTACAGCTTAGCAAATGGAAATGCTATGGCTCTGAATTTATAGGCCCAGGAAATTCATCTGCTAAATCTCTGTCTGGTGGGGCCAGGTTATGACGACTCACCAAAATCAGCTAACTTAAGCTCTCCGTAGCAATTTAGGAGCAAATTCTGAGGTTTCAGGTCTCGATGAAGGATATGGCACTTGTGAATGTGAGCCAAGCCTCTCAGAAGCTGGAACATGAAAAGCTGGGAACAAAAGGGAAAATCAGAGAGCCAGAATAGTGTAAGGTAGTGCCTTGAACTCCCAGGGGAAAGGAAGGAAGGAAGGAAGGAAGGAAGGAAGGAAGGAAGGAAGGAAGGAAGGAAGGAAGGAAATCAGATTCTCCCTTATAAGTTAGTTATGTGTTTAAAACCCACAACATACATTCCTAGCAACTCTTCTGTTAGATAACAACTCTCTTGCTGGTGCTAGTTGTCCTGAATGAAGGGATTTATTTGCTTCTCTTTTTATTTTCTGCCATAGTCAAAAGGGTCTCATTCCAGAGGATGAGGCACCCCCACTCCTAGGTGAATAAGCAACGTCAGTTTCTCCATCCAACTATGCAGCCTAACTCTGAAAGCTCTTCTACTAGAAAAAGCTGTTGTATGATTGAAACATGCTTTACTTGGTGATATCCAGAAGTCAGAATTATCAAAAAGAAGAGTCATAAAAGCAATCTAGGGGTGGGGTGGGGGGAATGACACAATATTGAGAGAACACAGAATCAAGAATAGGATGGGGAGCATGGCTAAGTGTCAGAGTGTCAGGATAAAGCTTTTTAAAAACATTCAAACTTTAAAATGTTCTGAAAATGTTGAAAATTTAAGATGCAAAAAAATGTAAAATTTATTAGCCCAGTCTTAGGAAAAAGACTATTATGGACCGTTTTCTTTTGTCTGTTTATGAGATTTAGATCCCATCTTTCACTCAAGAGTGATATAAATTAGAACAAATCAACAGCTGAATTTCAGGGTGTTTGGGGGGACTGATTAGAAGTGGCAATAGTTTGCCTAGCAAAGGCCTCTCACTCCTATTTTTACCGTTATACCCCCAACACCTCAAATGAACAAAAACAATTCAGATACATCATTTCTGAGGATTGCAAGCATCAGTGGATGCCTCAGAATTTGTCTGGGGGCTCCAAGGCCCACAAAAGGGATGCTAGAGTTACATGAGGCTTGCTGAAATCACAGAAAGAATTTGGAAGGCTGGATATGGTAGCGGGGAACCACCTCATGATGTTTTTTTTTTAAAATTAATTTATTAATTTATTAAATTTGTATGCCGCCCATCTCCCCCAATGGATGACTCTGGATGGCTCATAATTAAAACATTTCCTCCTGGTTAAGGGGTTCGATTGTGGCCATGTCTACTTTGGGAGTTGTTTCATGATGTAGGACTCTTATATGCAAAATACAGCCATTACATGCTTTCAAAATTCCATACTGGCTCAAAATGTTTAGCTCTGTTCTTTTGCCTCTCTCTAGTAACTGAAAGTTATTTTAGTTTCTTTTATTCGATTTGGCACCACCCAACTCCAGAACAACTCTGGGCTGCTAATTATTTGACAGCCACAGAATAAAACAAACCGTGCTTTCCTGATATTAATTCAAATTTAGCAAAATTCAACAGGACTGAAATATATAGTTCTAAAAAAATTAAGTGGGGGATGGAAGTGAAATGTAAAGAGGATTCTATTGGACGTCAGATGCTAAAGCATTCAGCCAAACTACAGATTATACTACGTGAGTGAAATATGTCACATATACTGTAATTGTTATTAAATAGGAATTGTGGGGATCTGATAACAAGGAGGAAAGAGTTTTTTTAAAAACCTCTCCTTATGATTTGCATTCTGATCCTGATTGGATCCCATGTGAGTTCTATTTAAGAACAGCTAAAGAAGCATGTTAAGAGTGACCTAAAGGGCTTATGATGGTTTGTTTCATAAGTATATTAGGAAACCTGGGGATTTTCCTAAATAAATACAATGGGAAAAGAGGCTGAGGAACCTGGTGCAAAAGGAAAAGCAGTGAGAATAGTTGTGCAGCATTCATGTGGGAGCATCAGGATAGGGAGTTTCTACTTAGGAAGTTCTCCCATCTGCCATGAAACTTCACGGCTATTTTGTCAGTTCACAGATACCAGCTATGTTTTTACTTTCTAAGAAAGAAACATGGCAAAGTGGAAGGTGGGGAAGAGGCACAGATTATTTGCAAATGTTTGCGCTCCCTTGTTGGTCAACTGGAGGGGGTGCTGGTGGCTGATGAGGAATACTTGGAGGCAGTGGTGAGGACATTTGTTGAGTGTCCCCCAAATTGTTCCTGAGGGTTTGGGGGTGAAAATGATGGTTGATCAGAAGTGCTCTAATATCCAAATGACTTCATGTGATCCACTGTATGGGCCAAGGAGGACTTCAGATCCTCCCTTTCCAGTACTGTCCCTGACAGATCCTCCAAAGGATCTTTGTACATGACATGCAACAGCTAACATCACAAGGGGAAAAAATTCCACAGTTTATTCACATACCCACTACAGGTACTTTATACTGTACAGCCTGACCTCTTTATATACTGGGTAAAATGTGTTTTCTTTTGAAAACAGATATTGAAATAGTTTCTTAGTAAAACAACAACAACAAAATAAACCAGTTAAGCAGAGCTTCAGTTGTTCAATCCTGATTTAAATTTGGGGGTGCATTAGTGATCAAATAATGAATCAAAACCCATGAGAATATCACGGTGGGGATTTATTTTGCCAGTTTCTATGATGAAGGATCTTTATATTAAGAAGGGTTAGGGCCAATTATTTCTTGATTTTGGATTCTGGGGGTCATAAATGAACATTCAGCAATATGATGATGTAACTTTGTTTGGTGAAGGCTTGAGGAAGAATAAAAGTGCAATATAGGAGCATTAAACTTCACAAAGGTTTAATGCAATCATTTGACATCCTTTGGGGACAGAACGTTTAGCCCTGAGAATCAGTGGCTACGGCCATAAAATGGAGGATGAAAGCCTGTGTGCATATGACAAGTTAATTATTCTTCATATTAGGGCACCTTATGGGGCAAGATTAATACAGTCTTTCCTGCTTGCATCTAACAACAGCACAAGCATGTCTTGGTAACAGGTTTGTTCTGCCATGTCCTCATCACGTTGCCTTAATCTTGTCTCAGCCCATAAGGGAAGCAGATTATATTGGTAATGAAGCAGTATTTCCCCCCTTCTCCCCACACCATCCAAGAGCAGCCCCAAGGTGTAAAAAATCTGTAGGCTTTGTCATCCATTACTTTGGAGTGAAGTCGGGTGAGGCAAGATAGGGATCGACTGTGGAGAAAGTTGTAGTTTTCTGCTGACTGACTCAAGGATGGACAAAGAGCATTTCAACTCACTAATGGGAAAAGACAGCAAATCTTGTTTTCTATTTCATATTTGTCAATATGATGTAATTGTACAGTTGAAACTAGTTGCAAGAAGGAGAACATTAATTTTTTAAATAAATAAGTGAATCCTAGTATGCTAAGTTCAGGCCTGCCATCTATCTGTTAATCATGCTTGTCCATGGCACATGCCTTTTACATACACATTTCTTCAGAAACATACCATAACATTATGAGGATGAAGGCCCCCAGGATGCTGAGACATGTACTGTGACAGGTCTGTGTGCTAAATAGATGCAGAGGTTAAAAAAATAGAGTTAATTATCAAGTCCAGAGGTTTTCTGCAGGTTCTTTATCAAAGTGTACTTCAACTACATTTGAAAAAAATCACTGAATGGAAAGTGATCTTCTTCTCCTGGTCAACTCCATGAAAACCTCTCCTGGGAAATCAGGCGAAGAAAACCTCTATCTGCCCCCTTTATTACTCATCTCTGGATGGAATCTTTGCATAATACTCTTCCAAATCACTTACAAGCCCAGCACCATATGGTCTACATGTAATAGGTAGGGGTCAAAAAATATTTGAATTGTACAAAAGCAAAAATTAGGGGTGTCCACAGGGAGGGGTCAAAAAAAGTCAAGATAGTGGCATGTTAAAAGGTAAAAATGAATGGTAAAATGTGAAATGGAATGTGGGAAAGACCTTGGGAGAATGGACAAAAAGACGCTGCCGAGGGAAATGGTCAGATAAGAGACAGCATAGCCCACAGATGGATAGTGGCAGGGCAAGAGGCTCTGAAGGGACCCTCCTTAATTTCTTGGGCTGTAAAGGAGATGAGGGAAGAATTGTACTTTCAGACTTGCAAGATTCTGTCAATGTAGTTTTACAATAAAGTGGAATTAGTTCATCTGGTCATGATTTCTATCTGGTTTACCTGGTGAGGCTGACATCAATCTTTCAAGTCTGAAAGTATAATTCTCCTTCCATCTCCTTTACAGCCCGAGAAACTAGGGAGGGGCTCTTCTGAGCCTTTTGCCCTACCCACTATCCATCTGCAGGCTATGCTGTCTCTTATCTGACCGTTCCCTTGGCAGTGCCTCTTTGCCCACTCTCCCAAGGTCTTTCCCACATTCCATTACAAATGCTGAGAAGAGAGGGAGAGGCAGAAGTCATTTACACTGAACTTATGAAACAAATCTTTGAGAACAGCACCCTGAATGCACTGAGAGGATAACTGCAAAAACAATGAGTTCCTGCTTGTTTCAGATCAGATAAAGCAGATCTTTAAATACAGCTGTGACTAAAGCTAAAGGGACCAGATAAATCTCAAGGGCGAGGGAAGAAAGCATGCAAAAAGCAACCGTCACTGTGATGGACACATTCCCTACACATTGTTGTAAAATGCTCTGAAGCATTGAAAAACTATGATAGCATGTTTACTTCCTTCAATAAGCAAATGAAACCTCCAATCAGCAAACAAACAAATCTGATGAAAAGCCACTTACCATGTACTCAAACACTAAAGTCAGGCTCTCTTTGGTCTGGATGATGTCATGAAGGAGCACAATATTGGCATGTTTCAAGCTCTTGAGGAGGGAAACTAAGACCACAGATATAGCAATCAGATTGATGCAGGGACAGAGAAAACAATTGAACAACTGAGATGACAGCAAAAAAGTCTTGGTCAATTGGCTGCCTGGGATGTTTCCATCCCTGGAATCTGGAGCAAGAGATTATCAAACTGGGTCTTCCTAAACAGAATGAATGCTTCAGAATTATTTAAATGATCATTTCCACCTCATAGCCTTGCTGATTTTTCTCATTAGTAGTACAAGGAGCACAGCATGTCCCTTCAATGCTTGATCTGCCTCTGTATCAAGCTCCCTTGGTGCTAAAATTCGTTCAAGGTCAGTCCTGATATTAGGGCGGTTTTCTTTTGTATGTTATAAATTGGAGGAACTGTGTCCTAAAACCAATTCTTAGTCTCGAATGCATGGAAAAAGACCCATACACATAGAACTGGATATGCAGAAGATTTTACGCATGTTAAGTTGAATACATGGAAACAGGAAATAGAAAGAGAGGTAGAACATGTGTTCATAATGCTCCTACGCCCAAACAACATGGTTATTCCGTGTCTATTTCCATTTCCAAACAAGGATTCCATATCACATTTTTAATACAATTCTTAGGCTCCAGAATAAGAGAATATTAATATTTTTATTGCTGATATTTTTAAAAAATCCTCTATAATTCATAGAATCACAGCAGCTTGGTTCCAATAGCATATGCATAAGATTCACCTGGACTGACATTACATTAAAATGAGCATTATAAGGTGAATAAAATGCAATTTTTTATTAAGGGAATTATTTACATGAAGCAATAAAACATTCCTTTTGTGGCCCCAGAGCCCCCAAGAATGGGCAGAGCCAAAACATCTGGCTGTTTTTTGTGTTTGGGGACAGGACTTAAAGGGCAAAATGGGTGCCTTTACAGGGGCTTAAGGCCCTCATTTCACCCTTCTATGTGTCCCCGCCCCCCAAATTGGAACTTCTCTGGAATGTAGCCCTTGACATTTTGTGTGAAGCCCAGTGCATCTCTCGTGCCAATCAAAAGGTTTCAGGCCATCTTAGAAGATCTCAACAAACACAATGGGTTTTTAACACATTATAATTGTAAACCAATAAGGTACTGGTAACGTGTCTCACATGCAATCTGCATAGCCAACCCCTTCCCTCCTCTTTCAACTAATTTAAATCCTACATCAGTCCAGCCACCCTAAGCCTCTGATGAAGGGAGCTGCAGCTCATGAAAGTTTATGCCTTTTCATAAATTTTGTTAGCTGGAAAAGATGCTCCCAGACTCCTCCTGATTTTTTGCCACCACAGACCAATATGGCTCTCTTCCTACAAAAACACACTCCTGGAAAAAAGTGTTGCAATCTGAAATGGAATCCTGTTGCTGAGAGGCATCATTGTTAGGTTAAAAATGCTTAAATACAGTTTCTTTTGGTTAAATGTAGTTTAACTTTCTTAAAAGTTTCTCTTGGTTAAATGAACTCTCAACAGGCTTGAGAGAGTTTCAAGCAGTTACGCCAGGACAGAGATCATGATCAGTGGACTTGCACGGGCAAAGCATAGGACACAGGTAGTAGGCTCTCCCCTTTCAGAAGCCCCTCCCCCTTTTGCACAGACAAAAGGGTTTGTTGGATGTCTAAAGCCGTGTTTCCACAGACAAAGGAAGCACACAACTTGAGCTGTTTAAACTTGCTCCCCCTTTCTCTATGGATGCTTACAAATGGATAAACCCACACTACCACCCGTTTGCAAGTCTGTATAACCATTTTTTAAAAAATAATTTGTAAATTATTAGGGATGCCTAGGCTGGAACTTAGGAATAATTGGAATAATACTGGAATAATCCCAGTGAAATTAGGATGCATGGTTAGCTTATTTCTCAGGAGGTTTTCCTTCAGATCAGATGTCCCTAGCTTTCATCCTAGACAATCTCGCACAAGCAGGAACAAACATCTTCCTCTATCTCCACCTCCTCCCCTGTTTTTGGCTTCCAGAATTAATCTATAGTTTCAGGGCCTATTTGCTAAGGTCTCTCCAGATAAACCTTTGCTTGAAGCATTTTGATGGTATCTGGTTGAAGCAGGAAGCTCCAGAATTCATCACAAAATGGCTTCTGCCTCTTCTTAGCCACCAGCTATGGTGTTCAGGACCCAGAAAGCAGAATTACGTTGTGGCTAACTCTCCCTTCTGTCATTCGTAAACATAGAAGGGCAGAAAGTGTGATTGTAAAATAGGGGCTCTGTAGTTCCACACATACCCTCCGTAGGTACCTCTATTCACACAAGGTGTGTAGTGATTGTGAGCAGGCAATCCCATTGTTTGTTTGCTTGCTTTTAATTTCAATGGTAAAATTAAAAAGGCAAGTATTTAGTTGGCCCATCCCTGTGTAAGTGGGTGGGACACTGGCCAAACCTTTGTTTATTCCCAAACAGAAGTTTGCCTCAGTTTGTAATGACGACTGGCATTGGATCAAATAGCTTGCCTATGGTTAGCACAAAGCTTGGCTGAGTATATCACACACACGTGCTCTCAATTAGAAGCCTTCCTTTCAATACAGCAAAAACGAGCCTTTCTCCACCACTGAGTTACAGGGCTCTCTACCAATTCTTGAATCAGCAAAAAACCCAAGACTGGTATTTTCATTAACTGCAGTCATTTCACTGACTTCCCTCCAAAGAGGTGACAAAGCCTCGCAGATTTTACACACCTTGAGGTTGTCCTTGGATGGTGTCGGAATAAATGTGGGGGGTGGGGTGGCAGGGGCAAGGGGAAATACTACTTTAATCCCAACATAACTAAGGACAGCTGAAAGCCGGTTCCCCTAATGGGCTGGAATGAGATGAAGGCAACATCATGGGGACATGCCAGAAAAAAGATGTTGCCCGGGCAGGTTTGTTAGGAGCATGTAGGGACATAAAGCCTGAAGCATCCACAGGTACCTTATGCAGCAACAGAGTTATGCTCTATCTGATAATAGTGTATCTTGCCTAGGGGTAATAAACACTATATAAATACTTCCCTCTCACATATAAACACACAGCCCTATTGGCATCTGATTGTAAGTCTGGGATGGGAAGAGCAAAATATTCAGAAACATAGAAAAATGATTCTGCATGTATCCTGATATAGTTTTCTATCACTTCTAATATTAATAAATTCAGCCTAATAATAAAAGAGAGCCAAAGTGGTGCAGTGATTAAGGTACCAGGCTAGAAACCTGGAGACCATGAGTTCTAGCCCCACCTCAGGCACAAAACCAGCTGGGTGACCTTGGGCCTTCCTCTCAGCCCTAGGAAGCAGCCAAGGACAAACCACTTCTGAAATCTTGCCATGAAAACTGCAGGGACTCATCCAGGCAGTCACCAGGAGTCAACATTGACTCAAAGGCACCAAAATAATAATACAGTAATAATAATACTTAGTTCAACCTAACTAGTGAAAATGTTCAGGGCGTGATTCCTCATACAGACTGAATGCTGTCTTCAGATTTCTTACCTTCTCTTATGGCTGTAAAAGGGATTCCCTCCTCAGTCTTCAGGCTGATGACTTTCAACACAACCAGCTGGCTGTATATTCTATTGGGACAGAATGTAACAGTTGCCTCTTCACTACACCTAATAGTTGAACTCACAATTTACAGTACACTTAAACCAAATATCCTATAAATCTACCACAGTTAAAGTGATTCAGTGCCATGTAATGCACAAACTATACATTGCCTACTAATATATACAATAATAGCTTTGTTTATGCAATCGAACAGTCTACCAAACATGTGGAGAGAGGAGGCTTGTAGATGAAGTATCATCACCATCACCCATAGAATATCCTTTCCCTAGTATTTACTGATTCCTAAGAAGAGCCCTTTCTTCTTTAGCAAGATTTATGTTTTTGCATATTTAATAACACTTTCCACCAATCTACCTGGAAATTTTCTGCAACTCATGGATGCCTTTTTAAACATTGATGTTATCAAGAATAGAATATGGCAATCTTTTTGTA